CTGCTTCATCCATCTGAGTGTTCAGGAGTTTCTGGCTGCTCTTCATGTCCATCTGACCTTCATCAACTCTGGACTCAATCTACTGGAAGAAGAACAAACAACCTCCAAGAAGTCTAATTTCTTTGGGAAAAAAAGAAATTTTAAATCTTTCTACCGGAGTGCTGTGGACAAGGCCTTACAGAGCCCATATGGACAGCTGGACTTGTTCCTCCGCTTCCTCCTGGGTCTTTGTCTTCAGACCAATCAGACTCTCCTACGGGGCCTGCTGACAAAGACAAGAGGTAACTCACAGACCAATCAGGAAACAGTCCAGTACATCAAGAAGAAGCTCAGCGAGAACCTGAGTGCAGATAAGAGCATCAATTTGTTCCACTGTCTGAATGAACTTAATGATCGTTCTCTAGTGGAGGAGATCCAACAGTCCCTTAGTTCAGTAAGTCTCTCCACAGATGAACTGTCTCCTGCTCAGTGGTCAGCTCTGGTCTTCATCTTACTGTCAGAGAAAGATCTGGATGTGTTTGACCTGAAGAAATACTCTGCTTCAGAGGAGGCTCTTCTGAGGCTGCTGCCAGTGGTCAAAGCCTCCAACAAAGCTCTGTGAGTCATGTGGTTTACTTTTTTCCCCTTCATCCCTTAAATTCTACTTGACAAGAAAAAAACAGCATGTGCAATCTTACCCTTAAAAAGTGAATTTAATGATTGTCAACAGCTGCAGACATATTTCTTTCTTTTTGGTTTATTTTTTTTTATATTGTTCACACTTAAATTTTTTGCGTCATTAAAGAAATTGCAATATTAGACAAAAATAACTTAAGTGAATACAAAATGCATTTTTTTAAAAGTATGATGGCTTTTATTTCCTAATAAAATATTTTAAAACGGTTTTGGCCCAATATGCAAAAATCCAAGAAGCACTCTTGAAAACTGGCAATGGCGCTTTCACATTACTGTGGAGGAATTTTGAATCAATCTTCTTTGCAGCCATTAATTGTTTAAGGACACATCCAAAGAAAAAGTGAGGTATGTGACAGAAGTGATAGAAAAGAAAATGCTGTAGGTTATGTCAGACACCAGACAGTTCGCGGGAAACAAAACGGAATTTTAGCTCAGAATTAAACGCTCTCCAAGATTACATCGACCAATGCTTCACATAATTATGAAGAAGGGTGAATGATGAAGAACTCCATCAAGTCTCTAACTGAGAATGAAGAAAATTTAAAAAATAAAAGAGACTGTCATAGATATCTAGCCCATAGTGTGAGAGAAAACCTTGTGTTTTCATATAAATGCACACAGCAATTATTTTACGTGTAGTTGTTTTTTCCTCTGTCAGTGCGCCCCAGGGCAGCTGTGGCTACAATGTAGTTTGCCATCGCCAGTTTGTGAATGTGTGGATGATTGAATGTAGTGTAAAGCGCATTGGGGTCCTTAGGGACTAAGTAAAGTGCTATACAAATACAGGCCATTTACCATTTTTTACCATTCCTGTTTAATAATATTCAACATTGCTATCAATGCATTTTACAAAAAGTGCCTCTTTGTGCAAAATGGGTTCAAAAACATAAACAAGTGTGGGATACTGTTTGTCCGTGATTTGGAGAGCTCAGCGCATGCTCCCAGCGCAGGGAAAACGAATTCTGTCGGGGAGACCTACCTTAGCATTTGTGCAGGTGAAACCAAAGGGAAGATATGCTTCACCATATTTTCTAGTCTTTGGCTTGGAAGGAAGTTGGTTTGGAAACATTTTTGGCGATGCTTCATCTCCTGCTTTGTGTTTGTGTGGAAGCGCTGTCAAAAAACTGTCCATTATGCTATCATTGTCCAAGCGTCCTTTTTTTCTTTCTTTCTTTGTTTTTTTAAATTCATACCACGCTCCCCCCTGCAGTGACTCTGACAAACACACACAAGCCACTGTTTTATCAAAATTTAAAATAATTGTTCTCATATGTGGATATCAGACTTTGTAGAGCAAAATCAGGTAAAAAGATAATTCTGTTTTTACATTCATCAGGTCCCTATAAGCCCAAATAGCAAAGAGAAATTAAAAATGCATGCAATGAAAGAGTTTGGGTCTTAGCAGGTTAACCAGCTTGAAAAACTACCACTGATGTAGATTGCCTAATATGAAGAGAAAGATCATTCAAAAGCTTTGGGGCCACAATAGAGAATGTCTGGTATCTTCTAAGGTTCAGCTTAGAACTGTTTAGGAACTGAAAGCAACAGCTGCTCAGCTGACCGGAGTGAACGAGGGAGCTATAGGGCTTCAGCAGATTGGACAAATATACAGGCGCCAGACCAATTAAGGACTTAAAAACCAGTAAAGGGATTTTAAAATAGATTCTAAATTCAATTGGAAGCCAGTCAAAGGAGGCCAGAACCAGAATAATATGCTCAAATTTTCTTTTACCAGTTAAAATCCATGCCGCAGAATTCGGCTCCAGTTGCAGGCATGACAGAGTGCCCATATTAAAAGGTGTGTAAAGGTTCAAGGGGCATAAATATTTTTTTCAAGGCACTGTATAACATAAAAATGTTGTTAAATTTATCATGTTTATATTCTAACAGAAAATAAAGAATATTTTTTTGAAAATTAACCTCATTATGTAGGACTAAAGAGGAACATTTAAGTTAGACAGAAATGGTGATTTTATTTTCACAAATTAAATACATAAAAATCATGTGAAACTTTGTAAGCCTAGAAGTTCTGACAGTCCCTCAGACAGAGAATGATCTGGGTTCTGCACCAGAGTCCAGTATATTAAATAAATGGCATCGAACTGTATCTGACGCAATGATCAAGATCAGATGTTAGATGAAGGAAAGTAAACAGCAGTGCATTGTGTCTGTGCAAGCAGGTACTTAACTAACATCACAAAATATACCATCTACTTGCTGGTTTCCATTGAGAGCGTTACATTGGCTTCATCTGAGCAATTTTTCTATTTGTTCCTGACTTAACTATGAATTGTACTGCATAATAGATTTTGTTTTTTTTATGTAGGTTAGACATTAAAATTGTTTGAAGTTATTATTTTTATTTGTTTGTTTTCCAGGCTCAGTGAATGTTTCCTCTCAGAGAGAAGCTGTGAAGCTCTGTCCTCAGTCCTCAGCTCCCAGTCGTCTAGTTTGAGAGAGCTGGATGCAAGCAACAACAACCTGCAGGATTCGGGGGTGAAGCTTCTGTCTGTTGGACTGCAGAGTCCACA